GGCCAGCTGAGACCCGATCAGAACCTCAGGATCGGACCTGGCCAGCTGAGACCCGATCAGAACCTCGGGATCGGGGGAGGACGATGGGGGTCAGGGGGAGGATGATGAGGGTCAGGGGGAGGATGATGGGGGTCAGGGGGAGATGTTCTCCATATTGAAGCGGTCGTAGTGGAACCTACTGTCTTGGTAGGGGCAGAACCGTGGCGAGGTGGAGTGAGGGAACTCGGTGAGGTCCGATGTGGTTCCCAGCGGCGGTTCTGACAGGACGTCGGCCGTGTAGCAGGACTTCAACTCCGTCAGGGAGCGGGACAGGTCGCACTCCGTGGCGTTGGAGCGGATGCATTGGTGGATCCTCTGTCTGTCTCCTCCAGACCTGCAACGGCAAGATCCCGGGTTAAAGGGGGGCTGTTGCTATGGAGACCAGAGCATGGGACAGGTGTGATCCAATCACGTGCTCTAAAGACAGAATACTTCACTGTCCTTTCTACTCCCACTTCACCCACCCCACCCAGATCCTACACCCTCCACCCCACCCCACACAGATCCTACACCCACCCTCCATCTCCACCCAGATCCATCCAAACCCAGCAGCTCCTGGTCGTCTGCTGTACCAGGGGCCTCTGGCAGACAGATGTGGAGCCTGAATGCTCGCTGTGGAACCAAGGTCCTCCAGCACCATTCATTGAAGTACATCTGTTCTGCAGCAACATTAGGAGGGTATCTAATAACAGGGCGCTAGTACCCCCAGTATTAGCGGTAGTATCAGGTCATAGTATCAGTAGTACTGGCGGTATGAACTGGACTGATAATTTGCTCCCCAGGCCACATCGGTAGAGTCTGAAAGCCTAGTTGGTTTTAGCCCAGAAAGAGCCCTCCGTTGTCACATTTGGAAGGATATTGGGAACATTATTCAACTAAAGCTTCCTCTAAAAGCAGCAAGATGATGACATTTATTAAAATAAAAAAGTTAAAACAATTAAACATAAGATCTCTTTCCTCTAAAAGTCTGCTA